TAATTTGACAAAGTTATTCCTCAGTTAAAACTAGGGCTGATTTAAAATAACAGCATCTAATGCAAGATGCAGACTATAGTTTAGGCCAAAATGCATCTTTCCACTCACCTTGAGAAGAAGCTGATATTTAGTTATTCTTTGAATGGGTTTGATCAGAAAGTCACTGATGGTTAGCCGTTGGCTTATTTCCTGTTGAACCTCCTAAAAATTGAGGATTAATAACAATTGCAAACAATCACAGAGTAAGACAGAGAACAAGATAAAAGGTCTCAGCAGAGACTTATTTCCACAGAAAGTTGGTCTGTTCTTAATCTTTTGTTTGCAAGAGGGAATTTTAGAGGATTTAAAAATCTGGCAATATCCTATTTAGGTAGGGGCTGGGTAAAAGTCGTGACCAGGCTGGAAGGCATTGGAAAGCCCAAAATCCCTTCCCTCTTTGAGCTGACCGAGCAGGGCTGAAAGGTCTAGAGACCATTCTTTCCACCGCAGCGGGGATTACCTCGCAAACAAGTCCTGCAGAGCCTGCCTCATGCCCTTGGGTGAAACGAAACATCTTTCCTTTGTTAATCAAGCTTCTTTCACATTAATATCTAAATGTGTCTAGTCACAAAGGTTTCTTGAAACAAACTTATTGGGAATTTATGAGGCACTGCCCAGCTCCAACAACTTTTACCTTCTCCCCTGTTTGTAGACTACAGATTCACAGAATCACTAAGGTTGGAAAGGACCTTCAAGATCATCAAGTCCAACCATTAATCCAGCACCACCATGTCCCCTAAACCATGTCCTGAAGCGCCACATCCACACGTTTTTTGAACACTTCCAGAGATGGCGACTCCACCCCCTCCCTGGGCAGCCTGTTCCAATGCTTGACCACCCTCTCGGTGAAGAAATTTTTCTTAATATCCAGTCTAAACCTCCCCTGGCGCAACTTGAGGCCATTTCTTCTTGTCCTATCACTAGTTACTTGGGGGAAGAGACCAGCGCCCTTTCAGGTAGCTGTAGAGAGCGATAAGGTCTCCCCTCAGCCTCCTCTTCTCCAGACTGAACAACCCCAGTTCCCTCAGCCGCTCCTCATAAGACTTGTGCTCCAGACCCCTCACCAGCTTTGTTGCCCTTCTCTAGACACGCTCCAGCACCTCAGGACCCTTCTTGTAGTGAGGGGCCCAAAACTGAACACAGTATTCGAGGTGTGGCCTCACCAGTGCCGAGTACAGGGGCACAATCACTTCTTATTTTATTTTGGACAGAAATCAATGCAGTTGTGGCACTCTGAGGGCCACAGACAGTTAGTACTGGATTAAACAGTTATTAGAAATTACCAACATGAGAATTTGAAATAAATGAAATAGTAACATTTTTCCCCATAGCAGAGACCTTAGCAGCACATTCAGTATCAGAATCTTCTAGAGTTTGTTTTAGATAAACCCCACAGATCACAGAATAGTCTACTTGACTAGGACTCACAACTGTAAGTAGCAGTAATGTATAATAAGCAATGCTTACCTCGAAGTATGTCTCGTACTCAGCTACTATATATTCAGATCGTGGCTTGTTTTGGCAATATACCACGTACATGTGTAATCGCCGCTCCTGTGAAAGCAAGAGGCACAGCAGCCTGGTGAGATATTGGCTTCCATTCTGTTTTGGTATTAAAAGCTGGCAGAAAGTTGCTAAGATGTTCCGCTCGGTCTTCCTTATTTTTTGTTTAATCAAAGATTTAGTTTGCTGAAGTAGGAAAGTAAAGTAACAACTGGTTCTGTTCTCCACTGCTGCACCTTAGGTAAGGGGATGTTTCCAAGGCGGTAGCCAATTAGAGATGTCATCCCCACACTGGTAGGTCTGAAATTTGCTATAGAGTTGTGCTTTGGCTAATATCATACAAACATGTCAATTGTAGCAGTTGGCAAGTACCTGCCATAGCTATACTTTGGCAGATGTCAAAATCAATTTTGCCCCCAAAATAAGAAGTCTGCAAGAGGGCAATGATTAATGCTTTAGTTCAATACAGCTGCTCACTGAAGATGCATAACTACAGGGCTACTTTATGTTTAAATTAAGTTTAGACATGTAGAAGTATCAAGTTGGCAAAAACAGATGTTTTCAGAAAGGAGTCATCACACCCTAAATGACAATTATACTAGAGATAGGTGAGAAAATGAAACTTACATGCTTAATAAAAAGCTGTGCTAAACGGTCAGGTTCTTGAAGACATTTTTCCAGTTCAGTCAGGAAAAAGCTGAAAGAAAGGGTATCAACATTTCAGAATGCTTCTTTAGGTCATCCCAGCAGCAAACTAGATATATCTGTGCAATTTTAGCTACAGTATTCAATAGTAAATGAAAAGGTAAGCTTGGCTTCAGCCCTTAATGGTGGGATTTCTAAAACTTTAGATGAGGGCTGTGAAATGTGGAGGTCTTGTCTTGCAAACTATCTGCTCTTCTTTACTATTCAATTTTTTAAAAGTGCTAATTATTATCTAATTGCAAGAGTTGCTTTCCTTCACTGAGAACTCCCAAAGTAAAACTCTTCCGTATACCAAAACACTTGTGAAAACTCAACTGAAGCTTTACCAGGAGTTCTCAGTTGCATGAGCAGATTTGGAGTACTGGTCAATGTGAAAGAGACACAGAAGTTTCCACTTGAATAAACAAATCAATATGTTTTTGCTGGTAGAGTTCTGGCATGTTCTGTTTTTCACTGTTTTTCAGTATATTACTGTTAGTCATATACTGGAGTTCATAATAGTAATAGTAATTCATAAAAAAATGTCTCTATCTTGACCTGCAGCTTTGGGGAGGTCATTCATTCTAGCTTGAAAGTCCTTACCAAGAATATACTGGGATGTCTGTAAGTGGGGTAAAAGCAGCTAAACTAAACTTTAGGAATACTAGTAGGTTTTTCTAACTAGGTAGGCAAATCCTGACAATCTCCCTTTGCACCATCTTCTTTTTCACTGCAGGAGTTCCATCTCAAATGACTCCGCAGATTTGCTCCAGTAGCCAGACTTGGTGAGAGGACATGTCTGCACGGGTCTGGTCCCAGGAAATCCCAAAACCTCAAAAGCAGGGGCATGTTGGACAGCTGTCCCAACTAAACATCCCTATCGCTACCATCAGATACAGCTGCTTCCATGACTCAATCCTCTATAAATGTTAAATTCATTTGCATTTAAATAGACTTCTTGACCCTAGATATGCAGAACAAAAAATAGGGAATCCTTCCCTATGTGTTACAGAAAACTCCTATCATCACACTTAAAGAATGAATGTCACTGTTAAAAACACTATGTTGCTGGTATCAACTTAGTATATGGTGAAGCGTTTCCTGACATTTTTTGTTTTGTGCTCACAAGGGCATCTATCAGAACATAAGGACAGACCCAGGCCATGAGATAAGCACCTGTGGGACACATGATGGGAAGGATACCGTATTTCCTGGGTGAGGGAAATGTCCAGAGCTGAAAGAAGATCCAGCCCAGTGTCCATTGTTCAAGTCTGCACATGCACACCCAAATTCTAGTTTAGCTAGAGCTGTAGAGTATTTCTAAGTGGCAGAGTTGAAATGATGACCATATTGTCCATAAGCAAGACATTGCTGTTCATAAAATTGCAGCAGAAATGGCCCAGGGTTTGAAATAAGCCTCATATTTCCAGGAGCTTTTCAAAAGCTACTTGTGTATGAGTAAGATTTTCAAGGATCTGAGTTCTTAACTCAGAGTCAAAAGCATCAACTAGGCCAAAGCACACCAGAGCTTTCACATGAGAAGGATCTTGAAGGTATTTGCATTTTATCACCCTACTAGCCAAATACTACTGGTATGGTCAGCCTTCGTGATCCTATCAGCTGCATGTGAAGATGTTCATGTTGCTGGGAACCACAAGACACAGCAAGCAAACCATGACTTTCCAGCATTGTTACTGCTCATCAGTGGGATGAATTGAGCCTACAGCTGTGACCCAAGAAACACAATTATAGCAGCCTCAGTAGCTTATCTGAGGATCCAGCAAGTACCCCACAAGCAGCAACTCTCTGGGAGCCATGTTGGAACTGCTTATGAGCAGAGTTGTAGATGGACCACAGTAATATCTCCCATTGAGCCTCTTGTGGCTCCCCAGCAAGGAGTGGCAGAGCTGTTGGCAGCACAGCACTGACACAAAGCAGACTCTCATGTGCAACATTTCTCTCACACACTGACCAGCACTCCTGGCATGGTGTTTGAGCCAGCATAAAGCTGCATCTGTGATCAGAGACAACGTGACAAACACTCTCCCATGAAGCCAGGCAGTGTGAAGCTATAGTCCACCCAAGTTTTTTTCCACTGGGAAAAATGATTTTATGTAAGACCAATGCCTTGCATCATGCAGTTGTGCTGTTTTTGGCTCGGTAGACAAAGCCCTATATCAGGATCAAGTGTATCGTGAAACTGTGGCTAAAAGCACATGAATTAGAATATGTTATCAGGATTCAAGGTAGCCATGATTTGTGAAGTTATTAAGCAGCACTTACAAACCAACAGAGACCATTTAAAGCGAGGCAACGTCCTTTGGAAGTTCAGCACTGAATCACCTGCTGATGTTCAATTAAAAGGAGCTTAGATACACAGACACCATATACCCAAATCCTTTATGGATGAGCGATTAGAAAGGTGCTTAAAAAGGAACTAAACTAAAAACTTACTCTTTATGCCAGTCATAGATCTGGTGAATATTGCCAAATACAATCTTGTCTTTCCCTTTCATATCTTCAGAAACTCCTTTTTCTTCAATCCTTTTCATGAAGCCCTTTAGAATTAATGATCAGTGATTAGCAAAGGGTTCATTTGAAGAGGGAGCATAATTACACTCCATTTTTTTCAAAGAAACAAAAGTTTTTATACTGAGAACACTTAAAATACCTTTTGTACAATTTAAAACCAGAAACCCATCTAGATACTTTAAATTACACAGTTTGCTTAAAAGAAAACGTTATAGGATTTATTCTGAATATCTACAATACTTATACAAACTGTTATTAGATATCATTGAAGTGACAAGTGCAATTAGAAGATAAAAGTTAAACAAAAATAGTTATCATTCTCTTGGCTTCTCTGGTAAGAGGAAGAAGACAGACTCTGTACAGAGTTCTTCCATTCATCACCATGAGTATTTTGTGGGAGCACAAAGCCAAGCAGTAAGTTTAGAGTCACATGAGCAGGATTTTTCACACCTCCTGAGAGTTTCTTTATAAGCCTTTGGAGCACTGCAGCCCTGTCAGGTTTGCCAGTGGTGCATGATGAAACAGAAGATAACACAAAAGTCTTCAAGTCTGGAAGCTGTTGAAAATCACTGTTAGATGGGCTGATAATTCTTCTTGGACTAGCGAATGCCAAAAGTGTTGCCAAAACTACACTTGAATCACAAGTTCTGAGTCCTTGCTGGGAAAAAAAACGGACCCTGCATGTGATTTTGCTGACAGGTGGCTCCTAAGGATCAGTCAGGTCTTTAGAAGTTGAAGCTTAAAAAACCTATAACTGCTTTTGAAAAAAAGGAGAAAGGGGCAAATAAAAATAAAAGCCCTCTATTTTATCTCAAGTCTTTTTGCAAAACAATAATCCATGGGCCACACAGGCACCTCAGCACAGATCCAAACCCTGTGTCTGGAAAGGTACTCAGACACAGGACTTTAGTCCAGGTGCAAACTCAAGTAAAGTATGTGTTACCATTACTCAATATGACAGCAAGAAACACAAGAAATAGATGGTAGGAGTGTAAGTTATTCTCCACCACTGCTCTCAAGGCTGCATTAAAGCAGAAAGACTTTGTCACAAGCAGGGTAGCCAAGAAAAATCTTTGCACACTGGAGTTGAAACCTAAAATATAACATTAGTTAGATGGAAACAAAAATAGTTTCCAAAGGCATTTCTTCTTGTTTCTGTCAACATGAGAAGGGGACCATGGAAGCAGAGTGCAAAATAAAGCAGTTTGTTTCTCAGGCTGTATTTTTTGTTGCTGTCACCCTTCAGCATGGTGCTTTTTAGTGGGAAAACATTTTACAGGGTTTGCTTCAGCTCACCTCCACAACAGTGCCCAAGTCTTTGACGTAGTCTTTTTCAGTCTGTACCAGCTCATTTAAGACAAACCTGAATTAAAACAGAACATGCACATATTTGACTATATTCCTTGATGTTACTGTTTTTTCCACATACTACCCCACTTCCACTCTGGGTCACATAACACAACTCACTCTCCACTCACTTACAGCTCAGTGGAATGTAAATGACAAAACTGTCACATTTCAGGTCAGGGTAGTTTCAATTCTCTTAACCACTCTTTTTTCTACCCCCTCTTCCCCTCCACATCCCAGAATGGTGCAAGAGCAGCAGCACAACCTGTACTGTACTTTGAGCTACACCTCTCTGCTCTCCTTTCCTCCACCCTCCATGCAGCCCTCCTGATAGTGATGGAGACATGTCCTGACCCATTCTGCAGCAAGCAGGAGAAGATCTCTTGACCCAGTGCCTCTGGCTTTGCCCAAGATTCATCAATTAAGTATTAATTTGGAAGTTTCAAACATTTGGAAAACAAATCCCCTCTCCCATCATAACCAAGAGCTTAATCTTTCAGACTAGGTAATCTATGTGTGGGTGTCAAATGCTTTACACTGATTTCAGAGCTAATAATCCTGGGTAGGAGAGTCTGATGAAGGCTTGATGTTGCAAACAACAGCAAGCTAAAAAAAGCCCCTCCTTTGTAAGTCAAACTGACTAATCACATAATGTTCTTTTGAGGACAATTTCAAAAAGTTACAGCTTGCTGCAGACAGTTTGCCTCTGAATTACACCAATACATAGATTTGGCATACAACAAATAAACTCCATCTGTGCTGAAGTTCGCTAGGGCAGTAACAAGGCTTACAGGATAGAGGAGTGCTTTCATGTCTAATATCACTCTGTTCACATCAATCAGCAGACTGACCCACTTGAAATGATAGGACTGAGGGCAAGCACTGCTAAGATAAAAGCCTGGTTGATAATATCTAGAGGGAAAAAAAAAATAGTAGACTGCCATTGCAAGCAGAGACTCGGTTATGAGGGTTTACTGAGAAAATAAATCCTGCTCCCGCTGCACTCCCAACGTGTCCCTTGCACAGAGTGGAGGAGATACTTAAGACACGTGGCAGGAAGAGGTCAAACAGCTTCTTGTTCATTTGAGAGTGAAATCCAGCCCCCTTGGCAGAAGGCAGGGCTGGCAGTGGCGATGCCAGATGCTTGTGCTCTCCGAAGCACCCTGCCAAGTTGCGTGCCTGGGTAGTAAACACGCACGGGGCAAAAGGCTGTTCTTTTACAAAGCAGCAGCATGTGGCCTGAACAAGTGTGTGCTGTACAGTCCCCTCTTGCTGGCTGACCTACTGTGCCCTTGCAAAAGGCTTACCACATCCCCTCCACACAGAGAGGCATGTGGGGAGGCTACTTTTTGGCTCACACCACCTCTGCATTGCTCCCTGCAAACACAGAGAGCAGCTGAAAAGATGGGGAGAACCTCTCCTACCTGCCCACTGCTTCCCCCACACCCGGACCCATTTGGTTTGAGTTACTGCCTTGCAGTAACTTACAGATACTTATGGCCAACTCCTGCTCTAAAAATGAAGCAGCAGGCACTTGTAGTACTTAATGTTGCTGCACATGCAGGCAGCTGGGTTTGAATTAAAAATCAGTGCAGCAATCCGATATCTATGAGGTGAACAGACTAAACATGAAAATTTACACCTCTCTTAGGAACCAGAGTCTGCATCTCTACTGCTTACCTTAAACTGAGCACCAGTGATGCCCCAGCTCCCCTCTTCCTAGCAAGCAGAGAAATCAGCCTTGACCCTCTCTATTAGTTCTCTGAAGCCAACCTGACACAGGACCTTAGAGGTACTCCCAGATTTAAGGTTTCTATGATGCATGCTGCCAAAAATTCAAGTTCACTAACCTCCTCATCTGATAACATGGAGCAAGGGCAAGCAGTTGCTTGGAAGGTGCCTGCCCTGGTCACCAGCAGATATTTACTACACAGCTGTATTTAAAATGGCATGAACTGGAACAAGGATAGAGCCTCCTCGCTTCTGAATAAGCCTGAGTATCTGGATATCTTAACTCTGTATTAAATCTATAGTGCACAACGCCACTCGATGAGACTATTGCCTTATTGCCCATAGAAATGCAGCAATCAAGTCTGATGGAATAAGGGTTTCCTAACACTAAGGCTAGCTGCTGGCACGCACGTGCTGCCAGAGACACAGGAAATTACTGCCCATGCCTGTGCAAGGATTCAGCTGCTGGTTTGTGGGGAATGGGGAGTCTCAGCTCAAGTTTGGAGCTCAGCTGCCTGATATGGCTATGGAATTAGACAGAGAGAGCCGTAGAGATACCTAACACACACACAAAGGAGCTGGAGAGGAGACAGATGTCTTGTGCTGAAAGCCTCTAGCAGGTGCTCCTAAATATCCTGGTGTTCAGGAAATCTGGATAGAGGCAGCCACTAATTACATGTAACGTGCTGCCAATCCCCCTGCCAGAAGTGTCAGACACTAGAAAGCATTACTGTATCTGCGCTTGCAGTGGCACAGGTCTCTGCACTGAAACGGCAACCTGCAGTTAGATGCCAGCTATCTAATTAATGAATTGCCACCAGAGAAACCCAAGAACTTGCAATATTGAGAAGCTTTTAGGAGACAGGCGTGGGCAGAGTTATTCTCTGCGGGAAGGCTGACAGCTGTCTAGTAAAAAACTTTTCCCATTCAGAAACACGTCCAGGAGTGTCGTGTCCCCGCCTGCTGCTAAAGTTGATCCAGTCCCTCACTGTATTGCTACTCTGGCTTCCTGCAACAAACTGCAGGAGTAAATGGTGGCTTTCACAGACCTGCGACACTTTGCTCCTGCTTCCTCATCTACACTTAACTACCTCATTGTCCTCCACTGACTTGGTTTCCTTCCCTGCTTGGCATCTTTCCCAAATGGGCTGCTCTTTTTTCCACCTCTCACCTTAGCACACTCCAATGAGACCTGTATGGACCGTTACTTTTGCCATCGATGCATGATTTGATTAGAAGACTGCAGTTACCATTGCTAGTGTAAGAGGCAGTATAAAGAAAACAGCTACCTGAGCTCTCTTTCATATAATTCTTGATTCTGTTTCTCCAATACTCTGTGTCCTTCAGACTAACCATGCATTCAAGAAATGCTTTAATCATGATAAGCTTTGAAGGCACAAGTGTTATGTCTGTTACATTTATGGGAGTGTACAGATAATTTTAAAAAACAACTTCCATGAGCTGTCACCATTTCTTTCCTCTCTCATTACCATGAATATAAGGGTTTCCCAAATGAAACCTTCTCTTTGGTGGCATGTTTCCACCACAAATGCATCTGAATTCTGCCTCTTCCTTTGCTAATAGCTAAAGCAAAAAATTATTCTCTCATTCAAAAAATCCTAGTGGGATTCTCTGTTCTTTTCCTTGAAGGTAGCTAACAAGGTCAACCACCCCTTTGAGAGGTGATTTCACCTCTGGCAACGCAGTAATTACCAAGGCAAACATCTCAATACTACTTGTCTAGCAGTTCAGAGGCTTTTACAGCAAAAGATATTTGCTGTCTAGGATAAAAGCTGCACATTTTAAGGAGTGGTGTTGGACTTCCTGGGTGTGCAAGTGTTTTTACGAAGCATTTTTACAGGTTAAGAAAAAACAGAAGCAAGCAAAATGCAGTTTTACTCCCAGTTCCGTGCTCATTCACTGACTACAAAGTATTCTTTTAGGGCAGCTATATGTCCTCCTTGGGTGCATATTTCAGAAAGAAGAACCAGCGAGGCAACTTACATCCTGCCTCTCATTGCTTTGGCTTTCTGTTCCTCTTCAAGGTTTCGTGGGGGAGTCGAAGGCATCATTCCTTCATTTAAGCAGCCAGTGGCATCTTTTAAGCTTCCTCGGTACGATCCTCCTTCAAGGGTCTAAAAAACCCCAAAGAACGATAGAATGAAGATTATCCTTGAACTTCAGTATCAGTGTTACCTTCTGTTTCAAGTCAGTTCTGCAATCAACACTGCTGTCTAAAACCAAGCAGAGTATTCAGGAATACTTTCCCGCAGGACTTGGTGAAACACAACCAAACTAGTTTTAAGTTGATATAAGCCCCCCACCCCCAAAGCATTAAAACAGAGAAGATATCCTTTTGCCAGAAGGTAGAAAAAGATGTTTCGGTAGCCCCAGGATGAGAAAACTCTTCCAAATTATTTCAAAACAACCTGAAAATATCCTGGTGTCTCAATCAGAACCAGGGTTAGGCTACACGTGGTCAGTGTTTCTCTGCCAAAGATTGAATGAGAATTCTTGGTAGTGAAGTAAAACACAAAATGAAACAGAAATAGATGGGTTCATAGTAACATTCCACAATAATTAAAGTTTTCCCCAAATCCCTAGAAAGTAATTGCAATTGACATAACAGCCTGCATGCAGGGGAGAGAGAATAAAATATCCTCTGAAAATATATCTAACTGGATTAATGAAATACTTTTCAATTTGTTAGTCCCTCAACGGAATAAAACTATTTTGAGTAAATTTTCTGGGAATGTCCTTTTTGGTTTCCCATGTCACAACAAGCTCCTTCACCACTTATTCCTTATCAAGCACCCTACGAACACAGAACATCTTCATGTACCAACATCTTAAACGGAGAACATACCAAAACTGTCTGGAATAATTGGCTAGATAAAGCTGCTTGCACAGAGTTACAGTAATTCAATGATCACTGTGTGTTTTGTTGTTTTGGTTTTACTCTCGTCATCCTTCCAGTATATGTAAAGAAATGAACCTTTGTAGGCTCATCATAACCCTGCTTTAATCCTGACTTGTAATTAAGTTAAACTTGCTCAAAGCAAGCATTTACCTAAATTGAGAGATCCTGGGACATGTAGAAAAAAGGTTTAGCTTTTATATTAACATTCTGAACTGTTTCAGGGAAAATTTAAGAGAAGTCAGGATATGAAACAGGGTTTACTCCTTATCCAGCAGAGATGGGACCAAACGGGGAGAGTGCACAACATTGAAATTTTTGAACAAATTAAACCCACAGCATTTTATCACTTGTTCCGCTCCCTGTCACATAGAGTTGACAAGGCAGATTAGAAGCAACACATGAATCTTTGTAAAATTAAAGTACAGCTGTAATACTTCAAGCAGTTCTACTCTTTAGAGGGTCTTTTCACTGAAGCCAGAATACCAAACAAATTCACCTGTTGGGTAGTAAAACTCCTGTGCCTCAGAACAAGCTTTAAAACAAAACAAAACATCTCACTGCGTAAAATATTTGAAAGAATACCAACAAGCCCCCTGAAAGACTACAGTAGCTCATACCCTTCAAAGCCTGCTCCAAAAGCACCTTTTGACTTTGCAGCACGGACCCTGCATGCCAACGTGAGATGTAGGCTTCATCTGACATGGAAAGCAAAAATACTAGATACTCTACTGTGAAGCAGAGCACATAGGGTTAACAAAAGCATAGCAGGTGAAGGTGGAAAGCAAGGAAATCAGAAAAAAGAGGTAGACTTTAAAGTCCTTCCCTAGAGTCACATTAGGCCTGTTGTGTACACAGTTTTCACAACACTAAACTTACCAGCTTACTTTTGACCAACTTTTCTATTGCACTGACAAGGTCCGCAGCAGTTGGGACATCGGAGGAGCTCTGTCGAGCAGCTAGCAAAGAAGAGGACTGCAAGACACCAGGTTGCAAAGGAAAAGCAAGTTAGCAGGATGAGAAAGGAGTAGGAAACCAGCGGTCAGTGAAGCAGCTTCTGAGACAGGAGGACAAATGTGGAAGGGGAGCAGGAGGGTTAGAGGACCACATGCATGGTCAGGTGAGTGACTGCAGCCCTATCAGGCAAGCACAGAATTGCCATCCAACTCTGGCTGCACATCCCTCTGAAGCAGGTCCAAGGTTGGGAACCAGGGAACAGTGTCAAAGAACTGAAGTTCATTGAAAATGAAAATGATCCAGAAAATTGATCTTCTCACTGCCAATGTAAGAAATTATCCCCTCCCCCATACATACATATTTAATAAATGTAGTTAAGCACAAGGTAGACATGGAGTTACAGGCAATAGGGGAGGGAGGCAGGGGGGAACAAATCATTCCCCCTCCCTTCCCCACAGATGAATTGTAACTCCAAATGAACTCAAATGACACCTCCCATTCATGCAACCTCATCCATCCAAAATGGATGGACATCAATCCATCTCTTCCCTCTCCTCTCTGCAGTAAGTGGAGAGAAAACACCCCTACATATCTCATCTATCCTAGGTGCCTGGTACAGGAGGGCAGAAACACTCTTTGGAGATGCCCATTTTTCCCTACTGGCATTATTTAGAATATTTTCAGTCTCGCTTCTCTATGTCTGTCTGTTGGTCACAGGTATTCCATTTTAGGTGCCTGACATCATGTAACGTCTTTGCACGTCTCCATGCTCAGGTAGCCACAACTAGTATGTGCTGATCATTACAAACCTCCAGAAACACCGAGACCTCATCAATGTTCTACCCAAGCATCCCCCATGGTGCTGCAAAGAGTGGCCTCGGTGTGAAATATTCACTTTTAGTTTAAGGTTTTTGCTCTGTACGGGCCTCTTCACCCCTTGGTCTTTGCCCTAAGAAATCTCACTTTGAAAACCCAAACTCATGTGATAGCTATGGTAATTGGTATTTATTAGCTTGCCTGTGTGTACATTTCTTCTCAATGAAATACAAGCACTGACTAAAACTACAAGCCCTTTGCAAACCTGGTTTTGGCAGGCTGACACGGGCTAAAGCATGGCTCAATTTTTATAAATGCTGCATTAAAATTATTAAAAAGCTTATTCATGTCTCAGCTGCTTAATAAAGGCCTTCTGGAGAGCACATATTTCAGTGAAACCACCGTGTAGGTGCCAGTGAACATGCATCTGAGTTTAAATAGTGCTGTGGAGTGGAAATGTGATGGCAGGAATTAGGCAGCTGGCCACCTCCTTCAGCAGCCCTTTGGCAAGGTTGGTCATGTTGAGTGACACAGCCCCAGGAGGAGAAAAAAAAGGCAAAGGACACCAATCCCAACCAGAAGCCTTGTGACAGAGCAGAAGCTGAACAGCCTGCCACTCCTCATCACCTCACCTTTCACAAATAATACATCTAATCAACAGTTCTAATTACAACAACAAAAACTACAGGTAATCAAGCTGGTAATTGAAGAATTAGGTTGGTAATGCAGGAACCTCATACAAATGTAAAAGCTCAGACAGCCTGTTTCACCTGCAATGCAGACAGACATGTCTAGGAAAAAAAAGACTGAAAATAGGGACTTTGAAGAGGGACTGGACAAATACATAGACGGTAACGGTCAAACAAAACCATTCTAGCAGGAGGAGTCTAATTTTTGGAGGCACTAAACAGCTGTTGCTCTCAATTCCTTTAACTGAAATTGCTCAATATCTCTGAAAAGTAAATAACTGCAGGATTTTGAAGGGAGCATGGAAACATTTGCTGCCTACAAGTCTTTCAGGGAAAAATAAAACTCTTCTGTGATTGATGAGAGGGTCTGCTTTGTATGGGGCAAATTGAAAAATGGTATTTCTATTTCTCAGGAAGTAAATTATTAATTTCTTATATGAAGATACCTTGCAATTTGCCTTTATAAGAGCCTCCAGAAGTAGCAAGGCATGATTATTGCTGCCTTGCAGATAGGCTCAGGGAACGGTGCTGCACCCCGCAGCGTGCAGACATCACAGAATCACGGAATCATTAAGGTTGGAAAAGACCTTTGAGATCATCATGTCCAACCGACAACCACCATCCTCTGCACTAAACCGTGTCCTGACCTACCCTTGTTACTTCCCCACGCTGCTGCTGGTCCAACCTAAGCCTGTGCCTGTAAGCAGTAGTAGGACATGAGCAGGGACCTCTGCCCAAATTAACACTGTTGAAGAGCTCTTGGGTCCAGCACCACTCAAGCATTACTAATGTGGTACTCCTGTGCCAGGGAATTCAGGAGCCATGTTTGTGAGGTTAAGATTTTCCCCCATGACAAAAAGTGAGTAGGGGGAGAAAAAGAGAGAGAAAAAGGGTTTCAGATGCATCTTGCCCTATTTAATCTTCTGTTTAGGAGCGGGTGAAGAAACAGGATACCAAAACGCTCTATAAAGCTTAGACATCTGGAGCAGAAAACAGTTTAGTTCCACAACATTGGCACTGTCAGAAATGTATTTAAGGAATACTGAAATCACATGGCATGTTAAAAATCAAAAGTAGTGACCCAACTAAAGCAGTTTTGTTTTTCTTTCAAAAAAACCCAAAACAAGTCCCCCCCAAAACCAAAAAAGCAAATTAACCCCAAAACATTTAGCTTAACACCATAGGGAAAAAGCCAGGAGCAACTGCTATTGTGCTGGGCACAGATCCACCATGGCTCTGCTTCACTGACCTTTCTCCTCTGCCCCTCGCCAGACAGCCAGCAGCACACGCAGCACTCAAAGGGCAAGAGTCCACAACTCCAGCTGCTTCCTTCTGGACTTGCTGCCACCACAATGTCATAACATTTCCTGACAGATTAGCAGCAAGCCCCCGAATCCTTTCTTCCATCATTCTGCTCCTTTGCACCCTTCTCTCTCTGTATTTCCAAACTCCTTCCTGAACCTTCCCCAAGAACTTTCTGGGTTGTTGTTTTTCCTGACAATTTATTAATCTCCCCTATCCTTGCTTCTTTGCACGCAGTAATTACAATCAGGGGATAGAAATACAGAAGTGGCAGTGCTAAAAACAGATGCCAGCAGGAAAGCAGGAAACAGCTAAACAGAAGGATGGATTTCTACAACGGAGAACACAGCACCAGGAAAGGGTGGGGGAGGACACATGCAGACAGGACCCACACTGACTGGGAATGCAAACCACCGTCGTAGCCATATCCACAGATTCTCACCCCAAGTCCAAGAGAGCAACTGAAGGACTCTGCAAGCCACTGCACCATCTACTGCAGCAAATTTGGACTCAACATTCAAGAGACGCTAGTGAACAGCAGAGAACTACCACCACCAGCATGGTGCACAAAGATGGGCAGACCAAAGCCTTTCCCACCCTCCTGACAGGGACTTCAGACACCTTGTGGGCTTCTGAACTAACTGGAGCTGATGGACCATTCAGTGATGATCAGCCACATATGCTGAAAATGCCAAACGATGGCACTGGGTAGGCTTTTCCATCTTCAAGTTTCAAAGCACTTTAAAATGGAGAGTGGATGGTGGGGCACAGACTGACAACATTCCTGAACCCGGTCACACAAAGTCTGAGTGGAGAGCCCAAGCTATCTAACCCTTGGTAAATGTGGTATTTGTGGACTCAAGCAGAGTCCAGCATCTGTCCTACTTTTCAGGTCCAGGCTGCCATCAAATACCATTTCTGCTGCTACTGCCACACACCAACGGCACTTTTAAAACAGATGTGGAGAACATGCATTATCAGACTGAATTGAATTTCTGACTACACACAACATGAGCACACGATCTACCTGTCATGAAATGGGATGCCAGGGCTAAATTGCTTATCCAGCACTATTTGTAAATCCAGTTGGTGAAAGGTACTAGATTATGATTTGCACATAGGAGTCTCTCGTAACCACAAGTGTAGGCCCTGGATACTAGAAGACCACTACAAAACCACTGTGAAATGGCTATGTGAGAAATGCACTCAAACAGCAAAATGATATGGTAGGGGAGGCCTTACCATCTCATCTTGGGCTGGATCATTGTCAAAAATCTTCATAGGAGGAGGAAGAGGTGTGTGAGACTCTTCATCTGGTTCATCTTCTCCCCAACCCTTCTTGCTCTTCTGAAGAAAAGTTAAATATAATTAGAACCAGGGATGGGCTTCTTTTCTCTTTTTAGATATCTGAGCTCTACCACTAGGCTTTGAGTCCGTTAATACTAATACTGGCTCAATATTGCGTTGGGTGGAGAGAACTGCAGGTAATGCTAAGTATTGTGGAAGAGAAACAATAAAGACATAAGCTTTTGCCGGTTAATCCTGGTGCATTCTAAGAGTTACAGAAATACAGTTTATCAGTCACCCAAGCAGGTAAGGCAGTTACAGCTGTCTGTGTGCTGATGGAAAAGTATTCTTTAATTTAAATGAGAACATCTCAATGTACAGTTTCTAAAATGAATTTGTCTATTTGTGTTCAGTTAGTATCTTCTCCATTTTTGGCTTATAAGTCCTTATTCACTTTATCAGGAAAGAGCCATTCTCGGAAAGAACATGCCTGCAGAGAAACTGCAGCTACAAATAGGTAGCAAATTTAACAGAAACATGGCTATTTCTCTGAGTGTTTTCTTTCAATAAGGAATTACACTGTCATGAGATGATATGAACCTCAGCACAAAGGGATAACAGCTGCTCAAGAATAACTTCATTTCTATCCTTGACAGCTTTCTAATAGGCTATTAAAAAAATCTAGTCCAAGGACAATAATATATGTAGACTTTGAAATGCTGTTCCCTATATATTCCACTGTTCTTTGGACGACAACGCTGTTTGCAACACAGCTTCAATCAATGCAATTTAACATATGATTTGCTGTTCCCTCTAGACCCTAAGGGAACTGCATTTACTCAAGCGTAAATCACACACCACAGAAAAGACTATCAGAGATATGATCTTTCCTGCAACAAACACCAACACACACCTCATCTGCGCTGTCTCCTTGAGGAGTGGTTTCATCTCCGGTCTTTGGTGAGCCGAGGTCAAAGCTCTTCCTGCCATCTCGCACCTTCTTTTGTTTCTTGATGTTGCTCTCAGTCTTCCCGCTGTTCAGCCGGCGCACAGGACTAGTCAACCATTTCTTCAGGGTGTTGGTTGAGCGCTTGGGGCCAGGAGAACTCTGGATTGAGTTGAGGGATGGCTGAGGTTGCAAATTGGCCACTGAATCAGACTTGCCCCCGTTGTCATTGGAAGAGACTGAATATGCATCTGGAAGAAAACAACACAGGTGAGAGATCATACCAGTAACTCCTCTATTTCCTAGTGCACAACAAGCGCTTGGCAGTCCTAAGCATGAAAATACAATCTGCCTTAATACAGGTTTTGTGACCTATGGACATTGTGTAAACTTTACTGCACAGCAGAGAGAGGAGGCGTATGCCCTGCAACCGGCATTTTTTACAATCTTACACACTTCTTTCATTTCCTACCACACTATCTGTCCTTAAGAAAGATCGCAGACAGCAAAGTTACCTAGTTTTTGATGAAAGCCTGAAATTCATGCTAAGTGCTGAATTCCTCAGCTTCTTCCCACAGATTTCATTGTGAATTGCCAGGAAGAAAATAAGCACAAAAAGCAGATAACTACAGAAGACCTGAGAGGCACCAATGCTTTGTCAGGTTCCAATTCCATAAATGTTTCTCAGCTGTTTCCAGACCCTACTGACATTACTGTTAGACTACTTATTAACTTTTGAAGGTTATTTGAAGCACCGTAAAATTACCTCCTTTGCCCCTGAAAGCAATTTGTCAGAAGACTTCACACCTTCCCTAGAACTAAGAAACTGGAATGAACAATTACAAAAGATGACAAATTGTTGAAACCAAAGGAAACTCCCAAGAAGAAGATACAGGGCAGGCTTAAAATCAAAAAAAGATTTCCATTATACCCAAACTGATGTGTATCCAACCGCAATTACCAATACACACCTTCAGACTAGCTCCTTAGAAATGGGTGCAACCTCCCTTACTCCCCCCAAAAGCAACACACCAAAGCCATGCCAATGTCAGTAAGTCTTCAAAATCAAAGCAAACAAGCTGCTTGAAGATTTCTCAATTGCCTTTCACCTTTCTGAAACCAGGCAAGGCAACTCCCTCCCCAGGAGCAATCAGGGACTGAGATTTTTAATCCCACACAGTTTAAGATGAATTTTTTTTTTACAGAATTCAGAAATTGTCACAGTCCTGTAAGGCACATCTCAGAGTGTACATCAGAAAGCAGTCACCTGATGTTATTAAACATTTTAGATGGTTATCTTTTAATCTTTTATCTGCCCCAGCAGAAGACAAAAACATAACACATGAAAATAGCCTGGTACATCCACATATTCTCAGTTCAGCAATAAATATCATTAGAGATACTGGGTAGTACACATGCTGAAGGAGAGCTACTCTCCCAGAAAATCATTACCTATATTGTTTCAGAAGCCAGTTCCTGCTACCTGCTATCTCCTGCCTGGCTTGGCAGAGCTGCTGCTCACAGCCAGCTATGCACTGAGCAGAGATTGCAGCCTACCTTGTCTGCCAGCTTGTTAAATGCAGACCCTGAGAGTTATAATATTTTATAATTATAGACAGCCTCAGTCAGAAGTTGAACCAACAACTTATTACATACCTGAGGTCAAAAGTTAGGTTTTTAGACAGTTTTTCCATATGGGAAATAATCATAACAAGCTAGAGGGAGTCAAAGTTCATCTCCCAAACAGGAAGAAAATCCAAGTCATCTGTCTTCTGACGACAGGAGTGAGTGTCAGAGGGGCTGGGAGGAGGACGCATCCCAGGTGGAGCTGCTGGGTTTTTTCTGACGTTCCTCTGTCAGAGCAAAGTAGCAGTCATCTCAAAAAGGCCTGGGTTTAGCCAGCTCCTGTTGATGTTATTTCATGCACATGAAGTGGCACTAAATCAACTAGCGCAAGATAGTATTTGTCAGTGGCCAGCTTATCTTCCACTCAATAGGCTTTAGATAGTCTCCTCTCGCAGGCTCCACGTGATGCTCTGGGAGTTCATCAGCGCACCTTGCGTCAGCAACTTCCAGGGTTTCGTGATGGCCATTTTGATTTTGCAAGTGCTGTTGCCCCTCCGTCCCCCAGCAGCACCGGCAGCCCCGCAGGTGGTGGGGGAAGCACGAGGGCTCCTCGCCAAGGGGCTGTGCTGAGCGGGGTGCCCTCAGGTGCCCACGCTCCCACTGCCGGTGTGCGGGGAGCCGGGCTGCAGTCACGGGAGGAGAAATGCTGGCAGCGATCGCTCCGTGGGGGCTGCCACTGTCAGGGATGATGGGGGTCAGGGATGATGTGGGGCAAGCAGCTGTATCATGGACTCACTGCTTTTGCTCGGGCCTGGGCATGGTGGGACGTTGAGGAGAACAAAGGACAAGCTGGTCTTCCCGCATCTCGGCTGATTAATGTACAGAGAGCTTTTTACTACAGCTTGGAAGTAACACAGTCCAACCCCTACCTCCAGTCGACGGCACCTTGCCAATTTAACTTTTAGTAAGGGAAGGGAGCTGACAGGAGGCTAAAGAGAGCCTGGGACAACTCCATCCACCCCCAGGATTTGTTAGGGAGATGTGCAATCCTACCTCAGCCTGGTGGGCTCGAGGCAGGGCCAAACCCAGCAACCCCGAACTCTGTGGTGGAAGGGACAGGGACCTACCTTCCCACCCGGAAACGCCCCTGGTTTTACAAGCAGAGCCAGGCCTCGGCCTTGCTGCCTCCCTCTCCCTTCCCCAGGCAGCACAGTCACGGCCGGGGCATGGACAGACGCACAGCACCTCCCGCACCGCCGCACTCTTCGCTCGAGGCCGTCCTGGGGAAGTGACGGTCAGTCATTGTCCACTGCCACCCCAGGGAAGGAAGGCAGCAGGTGGGCAGGAACAGCCCAATCCCCGAGCTGGCCCACAGCACACCTTACCTGCCTGCAGAAACTCTGGTCAAAGTTTAACCCAGAGCCAGAAACCTCTGTAGACCAAACATCAGGCCTCCAGACCCACAAGCCATGATGAAAGCCAACCCAAAGGTTTGCAGAGGGTGGTGTGTTACACCGAGCAACGATCCCACTTGAAAGAGGCTCTGGATTTTCCTGCTCAAGGTCATGCCTTTGGTGATGAAAAAGACTATTTACCAAGGAGTTACTAAATCTCAGTTTAATCTCAGATATGAAGTCTCCTTCTTTCTCCTTGTCTGCTGAAGTGCCCAGTCTAACCACTGTAAGGCATCTGGGACAGAGCCCGGGCTTCGCTTGGCCCATGCAGCCCAAGACTGGAAATGGGGCCTTATCTTGCCTTTAGGTGGTAACACAGTCTTTGCTGGCTGGAGGGCAGCCAGGGAGGTGAAGGGAAAGGCTGGTATAAATCTCCCTGCTCCCCAGCCACCATGACAGGGTGAGTTTGCTCTACCCAGCACCCTACACACGTACAAAGCACTGTCATCTCATCGTCCTACTTCCCACCATTGCCAAACATGCCCTATTCAAAAACCACACCAAAAGTCCACACACAATATTAATAACCTTTTTTCCTTTTCTTTTTTAAAAGGCACTGCAAATACAGACACATTTGTGAGCAAGTCACACTTGCCTTTTGCCAGCCCTGCTGAGAATGATTTCCTTCGCACGTAAAGCAGGTCACCTCAGCATGGCTGCAGAGGCAGGACTGGAGCTCAAGGAAGAGCAGAGCTCACACAATGAGAGACAGAAACATGCAACACAAAAAAACTGCCAGGAAAGACTTTGGAAACAATCTCCTAAGCCGTGCTTGTGTGAGCTCCATGGTTTCTGTGGCACGTACGGCTACAAACACATTAATCATGACACTTGATACTAGCCTGAGATACAGACACCAGGTGGATCAAGCAGAAGAAGAGGACATGTTATCATGCTCTTCTTGCAGAGCACTAGCACATATGCGCTTTGCAAACTGTATTGGTAGAGCTGCTCGGAAACACAGTTTGCTTAAGAAAAGCCAGAGAGCACTTTGGAAAAGAGGCAGTGGTACATTGCACGGTAATTCAGGCAGCCGCCGCTGCCCGCGAGGACCAGCAAAGCAGTGGCTGCCCTCACACTGCAGTGGGTCTGCAGGAACGTCAGGGCTCAGCAGAGAGCTGCGGCAAGCAGTCGTCCTGCCACCAATGTCCCGGGACACACGCGTCTAAAAAAAGGTATTTAGTGAAGCGAAATGGGTGTAGGGAGGTCAGCAGACTAGTGTGGCTAGATTGATTTCTTGGCCAAACCATTCATTCAGACAGAAGAAATGATGGTTTCCAAAACACCCCTAAGCAAACCTCCAAGAAACTTCTGGCAATAGGACTGTGACAGATACTCAGCCAGACCAAAGAGCTGAAACACTCAGAGCTTTTGCACCGTCAGAGCCACGAAATATTTGTCGTTGTTGCTCAAATGAACAGATGTCTATAAAAGCATGCCTCTCACTTGAAAAATGGAAGGTTCCAGTTCTGTGCAACCTTGGGTGAAAGGAAAAACGAAAATCTCATAGAGCCATTTTAGAGGCACAGTTGTATTCCCATTTGAGTCAGTAGGAAATACTGCTGGAACATAAATACACGGCATTTTATTTTTACCTCCCAGTTCCCCAGAGCACACATGGGAGGGCAGATCTGTCTGGTCAGGCTCAGGCAGCACCGGACTCATCTGCAGTAACTCAGGTCGCTAATGGGGAAAGGGAAAGGCTTCTCAGAGCAGTTCAGAAGAAAACATCAGGCTTCTCTTTTTGATCCATACTAACCACAGATCACATACAATAGGAAGGAAATATGCTTTCATAACCAGAAGTTAATACAGAATATAGCTATGAAGACAGGTGACTATGGCAGGACACAATCTTTAGGTGAGAAGAGGTGAATCTTGTTCTCATTTATGTATGGCTCCATTTCTCATCCCAGAAAAACAGTCTGAGAGAAAAGGATTTTTCCACAGAAGTCAGAGGAGATGAGCCAGAATGGGAACTCTGTAATCCTATTAGCATGTGCATTTAAATCAACAATTTTTTTTTGCAGAAATAATTCCACTCATGAATGAAAGCCAATAATGACAATCTGACCGATGAGCACATAAATTAGCTCTGCTGTGCTCGACAGAGCCCATTTTCCATATTTAGTGATTCCTGTAAAATAACATTTCTGACAAAGATGGAATTGAATCAGATGTGGGTGAAAGACTAACTCGGTCTTTACTCGAGCTATTATTTCCTGAAGATCAGGAATCTCAGTACCAGAAAATCTTGGAAAGCAGGAGTCATCTAGACCCATCCTATGCACAAGCAAAGCCTTTATATTAGTATTCCACACTAAACAAACAAGAATCATCTAAACCATCAAAATGCACCCTCTTCTGCCCTTTCCAAGATGATGTCCTTCACCATACAGGCTGTAGGCTCCAGGTCACAGCTCTCAGCCCCTTGAGGCTTTATACTCTCCCTCGGGAAAACACTGCTGTGAGAGCCACCTCAGATCTGCTTGAGGGCTTTAGGGCTAAAGCTCGACTTGACAGGCACAAAGATGGCAGAACAAGGTATGAAAACTGCTTCTTTGATCTCTTCTGTGCTTTAGTATTAAATGTCCAAAACACACTCAGTGAAACATTTTTATTGGCACGAGTCAGGGTTACAAAACTTTGTGGCTTAAGCAGATGACAGTACCGATCCCAGTCTTAGTGTTAGAGCCTATTCTGCCTGTAAAACCTGGCATGGATTTGCAAAAATTTGGGAGGTAACAACATTTGCATAACACAAAGTCACTCTACAGCTATTCCTCAAGTGAAAACACTAGCTCACAACAATGTAAGTAATGAATCTGACAACTTTTAATGTCAACAGATAAACGGTCTCCTAAGGCACTGCCTCTGAAAAAGGCTCCAGCGAAGAACGTAAGTGAACATGAGGAAATTTTCAGTGCCTATGTCAGACAAAGATAAAGGACAACTGGCCTGAAAAGCCCTTTAGATTAGGAGTACATTAAACTTTCACAATGGAATTGCAAAACTCGCCCTGGTGTCCTTCATGGCGCTCTCTCTGCTCCTGGGTCTGCTTAGGTGCTCTACACGTCTGACCGCAGACCTGCCCCACACTTTGGCTCAAGAGAAAAATGAGATCACAGAATCCCAGAAGCATGAAGGTTGGAAAAGACCTTCAAGATCATCAAGTCCAACCATCAACACAACACCACCATGCCCACTAAACCATGTCCCGAAGCGCCACATCCACACGTTTTTTGAATGCTTCCAGTGATGGTGACTCCACCACCTCCCTGGGCAGCCTGTCACAATGCTTGACCACCCTCTCGGTGAAGAAATTTTTCCTAATATCTAATCTAAACCTCCCCTGGTGCAACTTGAGGCCATTTCGTCTCGTCCTATCACTAGTTACTTGGGAGAAGAGACCAACACCCACCTCACCGCAATCCCCTTTCATGTAGTTGTAGCGAGCGATAAGGTCTCCTCTCAGCCTCCTCTTCTCCAGACTGAACAACCCCAGTTCCCTCAGCCACTCCTCATAAGACTTGTGCTCCAGACCCCTCACCAGCTTCGTTGCCCTTCTCTGGACACGCTCCAGCACCTCAACGTCCTTCTTGATGGGTTGATGAAAAGAGACCACATAGGACCCAGTTTCACACCAGAGAGTAAAGACATGTTCAAACTACATCATGGAAATCTAAATGCAAGTTTTGCTCCAACGTTCAAATATTCTCCCTAACTTTATAATCTCCTTGAAATGAACAGAATTGAGAAGGTTCGACTGAATTTTCTGTTTGTGTCTCGGAGTATCATTTGAAGCTTCAAGCTGGAAGTAACATCAAAAAGCACAAATCAATCTGGCAGGATTCTCACAATTCCATTTATGTGAATGAAATGACTTCTGTCCTAACTCAAGAAAAGTGGTGTGGAGTTAAATATTTTATGCAAAAGTTTCTAGTCTGATAGAGAAAGTAGTCTACACTGCTAAAAGCAGATGTACTTGACAAACTTTCCAATGCCTGTAATGTAAAAACTCAAAATTTGACTTTGTTTCACTGTGAAACATTCAAACAAGACTAACTTCCAAA